CCTTCTGATGTCCCAGCCACCACTGTCGGTTGTCCTCTGGTTTATCATTCTAAAGCCTTTTACCTGGAGGCAGCCCAGGTGAGGGCTGGCCTGGCAGTGGTGTGCCAGAGTCCCTTCCCGTGTAGCTTCAGCGGGGACCCCAGGGGCTCCTGGAACCTGGAGAACACCCTGGTGCCCGCATCGTTCCCCATCTCCACCCTCTGCGTCGCTTGCCGCAAGCCTGCGAGCAGCCTCGGTCCGGGTTGCGCTCCCCGTGTGAATAACCCCTTTGTTCTTCGCTTCGTCCCTTACAGATCACTTGGTGGCCCACGGACGTATGGCCGAGAAGGAAGCCCGGAGAAAGTTCAAGCAAATAGTGGCTGCTGTCAACTTTTGTCACTGTCGTAATATAGTCCACAGAGATCTGAAGGCAGAAAATCTACTCCTGGATGCTAACCTCAACATCAAAATAGCAGGTGAGCTAAGACTAGCAGTGTGGGAGGAAGGCAGCGGCTTTCAGAAGTTAATAAATGTAGGCATTGGCTGCTTCCAGGTATTCAGAAAGAAGGAAGCCCAGTGCAGCTAAAGGAAGCTTTGGATTTCTGCGTGGCCTGCTGCCCAGAGCTGAAACTGCCAGATTGTAGCCAGGAGATTTATATCTCCCTTCAAATAGTGCAAAATAAAAGAAGGAGGGGGACGGAAAAAAAGCTGGTCTGGCTTCGTAGGCAGATACGGGGCTATAGATACTGCAGTGTTCCAATACACAGGGTAACGGGTGAGACTAATACTAAAAAAATCAACCTTGTTTTGAGTCCTGCTGCCAGCTGAGGATGACTTTGAGGCGGGTCAGACTAGGTGAGAGAGAAAGAATGGAAAGTAAGGATGACGATGTTTACGGTAGAGCGGTGAAGGGGAAACACCGCTCTTGGAATCATTTCACCGCCCTGTCTGACAGAGCAAGAGGATGAGCCCCGGTGCTTTTGAGTATTTATCCGCTGCAGGAGACAAGGTGAAGTTAGCAAGTCAGCCCTCACAGACCGTTCCGGCATTTTGCTGGGCAGTGGGGGGGTTTTGCTAACAACTGCCCTTCCAGAGAGCTCGGGCAGCAGCCTGACCGAACGCAGGCCTGCATGTCCCTGATCCTCTCGGACAGGAGATTGAGCCTTGGCCTCCGCGATGCACTCACTAGACTGGATTTTTTTTTTTTTTAGCTTTGTGGGATTATGGAGCAACCGATTGAAACAAGAGGATTTAACACCACCCTGGTCATCTCATTTCAGGGGCTTTTGGATTGGAAGAGCTCACACTTACCATTTAATTCTACTAGAGCCTAATGCATAGTATTTTTGGAAAGCACTCTGTTGCCCCTTTTCTTAATAGACTTCCTTGGAGAGCTTGTCGGCTTTTACAAGGGTTTGTAACTTGATTTTTTTAAAAAAAAGTGCTTCGGGCTACAAAACTTTTCAGTTGGTGAGCAATTTTAATATTGGGAGTTGGGGAATACTCGTCTAGCTTGATACCATCTTGGAGAGAGGAAACGGTCGTGTTCCTCGTGTTACTGTTCTCTGATGTACCATCCGTAGGTGTTGGGTTAGAGCAGAACGTTTGATTTGTAGTGGAATGGTTGGTAATTCCTTAGGTTGCTCTCGTCCTGCCTTTGTGAGGAGGGAACAGGGAAGGAACAGAACGGAGTGAAGGAGTTTGTGAAGCTTCCTCTGGCGGCTTAGTAAGTGTGAGCCGTGTCCTCCTCGGCACGAGGCTGGTAACCTGCTCTTCGGGGAGCAGAAGATGAGTAAGAGGCACGTCGCTGATGAAGTACGAGCAGCTCGTGGTGTTTGCTGTGTGTTAAGTGACTCTGCGCTGCCTTGCGCTGTGCGGCGTTCCGGGGCCACCGGAAAGCCTGACGGCTCGTGCTTCCCGGGACCGCGCCGTGCACGGTCACCGAGGGGAACGTGCTGACAGCGCGGGGCAAACGGCTCGGCTGTGCCAGCCAGACGCATCTCCTACGGCTGGGGAAGAGGCGCCTCTCGGTCCCTGCAGCGGAAGGAGCCGGTGGCAGGTACCGGCGCTCCTGCGAGAGCGGCTCCTCGGGAGGGCTTTAGAAGCAGCACTTCCTGCAGTCTGTTTCATGCAAGCAGATGCGCTGATGATTTGAGGCCATCTTGTGTTCACGGGGTAAAACCTAATCTGTGCGGGGGGGAGAGTGCCTAGCAAATGAAAGGAAAGAAAGAAGCAAACAGCTAAGCCAGGTAGAAACCGGAATGCGGCTGGGTTCCCTAAAGAAGCGTCCACGTGCACGTGCTGACAAGCTCTGTGGGTGTCTGAAAATTGTGGAAACTCTTTTTTTAAAAAAAAAAAAAAAATCAAAGGGAGTTGGAAACTATTTTCCTTCCAAATCTCTGCTCCCAGAATGGACTCTAGAAGATAGTTCCCACCCTGGTGGTGGTAATGTTTTACTTGGCAGGGAGACGTAGTAGTGATTTTGAAAAGTAGCCTGGAAAAGCTGATTTATGGTATAGGATTTTCCAAGTATTAAGTTTTGTCCCTATAAGTCATTAATTACAACTTGACACCAGTTCTTCCATTGTTTCAAGAGCAAAGAAAGCAGAGATAGCAGCTGATCTCTTGCACACCAGACCTCCCAGAATAAACGCTACAGAAATGCACAAAGCCCTGTTACATGGGTGGAGGATCAGCTGAACCTTCGCCGCCAAACCCATTAACCGAGCCTTAGCTCAAGCCTCTTCCATAGCGCGTTTACTGTTCAGCTGACGGAACTGTAGGTGCATCTTGAGTGTCTTCTGGAGGTAGGTCTGGTCACTTTTTACCGGCCACAAAGCAGCCGCGCAGGTAGGCTGCAGGA